TCTGGGAACAACACCAACACGAGGATATCAGATCATCCCTATGACTTTGGCATTGTACTTCTGTCATATAATCTTTAGATAAACAATATTTCAACCCAGACATTATACAACATTGTTTATTATAACACAGCAAAAAAAATTAAATTACTGCAATTCAGCAAGTAATAATTAATATTAATCGAATTTAAAAAGAAAAAAAAGACATATCACACTTGATTTGGGACAGTGACATTGTAGACCCTCTGCTGAATTGCTCTCCGTCCTCTAAAAGAAACAAAATAACAAATATGTTAACTTCTTCCTTATTCCTTGCATTCATTATCTTGTTTGCCATCTATTGACTGTGTCAAGTGCCATACACATTATGAATAAATTTGTTTCCATTTTTATCACTTAACTTGGCATTTCACTTTGAGATGTAGATTGGTATAATGAGCCCATAATATGTGCTTCAGCTTCTTCTTGAAGTGTTTGCTCAGTTGACATCTCCATCAGTGATTAATAAATTCCCTCAAGAAGCATGCATAATCTTCTCCCAGAAACATTTTGTTGAACATTATTCATGAGCACTAGAAATGTTGCAATAATGAAAACATGTTCTTCAAGGTGACGCAATATAAACTCCAAATTATTTCTACCATTTGCAGTTTGAACAGCTGTCGGAAAACAGTTGTCAAGCTCTACAAAGTACTGAAACAGTTCAGCTGATGCCATTTTATAAAGGAAACTCAGAAAAAAACTTCACCTCTAAACATGAGGTTCATACATTCTATATATTCAAGTTTCATTCTATGTATTCAAGTTTCATTCTATATATGCTATGCTATAAATTAAATAGGTAAAATGTACGGAGAGGATTCCAAGTGTCACTTATGAGGAAAAGCTCATAATCTGAAAAGAACAACATCCTCTTTAAGACACTGAGAATTTAATCTCATGTACTACTGATGTTTATTTTTGATTTAACATGACTTATAAATATAAATTCATTTCAGCCAAATACAGTAAGGATGATTGGACAGTGTCTGACACTATATATGGACAATGATCCAACACACAGTACAAAAAAACCCAGGAGTTTTTGAAGGTAGAGCAGGATTCTGCATTGACCGACTCTGACTCTTCTATTACTCCGATTTTCAGCATTTCAGCCAATTTCCTCAGAACAATTTGCCTTTTATGTTCAGATCGCCTGTAGGGCGTAAACGCACCATCACGCCAGGCTGTTTCAAAATTATGCTCGATGAGCAACATTTGGCTGGACAGGGGGGAGAACATGTCTGCAAATCGCTGTTGCAACTTGGCAACATCTGCTCTCAGGGCCTGTGTGAGATGGTTATCACAATGGAGGGAGGCAGGAATGATGGAATTTGGCACCTCCGACCCCAACTTATCTCTTTCCTTCACCAGGCTCACCAGAGAAGCGGGGCTTATATTCTAACAACAACGGCACTATAGGATACCTGTGAATATCACCATGAGCACACTTCACCTCCACCCACTCTGCCTGCAGCAATGCCTCGGGGTGAACCAAACTTTGGTACATGAGGGTCTGCATACAGCCCGTGTCCACCAAAGCATGGCATATAGTAGTTCAATTGCCACCACACTGTGGCCATCCCCTTCGCATGGCTCAGGAGCCTTCTGGATTTCCTTCTTGTAAGGTGAACCCATGCGCACAATGGCTGTGTTCACAGTTCTCAGTGTTTATTGTAATGTTAAACACACAATGTCATAGTCCCCACTCAGGGCTGGTCTCAGCTCACACACCCGCGCACGTCTCTTGCTTCACTATAAAAGGAAAAGAGACTGTCATCAGTTCAGTCACCACCATCTGTGGCCTCACCTGCCTCCTGTCACCGCCCCTTTGAGCTCACTGCACACCCCTTCCCTTGCAGCTGAGCCAGGGACCACACCTCCGCCACACTGCTGCTCTCGAGATACAATTGCAAATTCATTACTTCCCTGTTTAGACTGCCTGAACTGTAAATAAATGCACTGAACTGTCGATTTGTGAGTCTGCATTTTGAGTCCTTCCGACTACCCACCATGACAGTAACGGGACTCAAACATTCCAGGAAGATCAACTTTATTTTCATTGATTCACAGAATATCTTCCCAAAAGTCTTGGGGATCATCAAGATGTTTTCTGGCAAATGTGAGACCAGCCATTGTGTTCCCTTTGCTCAGCAGTCAGTGGTTTTCTCCTTGAACTCTTCCAAGAATGCAATTTTTGCCCAAAAGAGCCTGTCTGAGTTTTTTATGCATGCACTAATTTTATGCATAGTTTCTTTGGTTAATGTGAGCGAGATTCTGAAAAAGTATTTGGGTGAGTTCAGGATGCATGATAGTTCTTAAATAAAATGTTTGAGGGTAAAATATTGTGATTTCAAGTTCAGCTATTGTTATGTGGTTGTTTTTATTTTTTTTATAAACTGAACCTTCATTTAACAGGTAACAGGTTAAAAAGGCACCAGCTGGACAACGCTTGAAGGTTGACGCCGAAGAGAACAATAATGGATTGGATTTATATAGCGCTTTTCAAGGCACCCAAAGTGCTTTACAATGCCACTATTCATTCACTCTCACATTCACACACTGGTGACAACAACAATTCTTCCCAGAGATACGATAACAAGAATGAACTGACTATCTTGCCCTATTCCTCAAGGCCACCTGCGTAGGCTGCGAACTGTTGATCTACGCCTAATAGGTGAAAGGACACTCTCTCAGGCTGAACACAGGATACACATCCCCACACACATACACTGATACTGATACGCCCTCACCGCCACCCTCCCCTGCCCAAATCCAATGCCTCCCATGCTTTCCTCCCATCCGATGTGAACAGTGGGCCAGACGGAGGCGCAACCGTGAGATTGCAGCGTCCCAGATGCAGTGTTGCTTGTCTGTGATTTACTGTGTTAAGGTGTCGTGATGTCTGTGTTTTCTTTATGTGCTATGGAGTTTTTCTTTTTCTCTTCATACTGACTCCCTTTTGGGGACCAGTATTAGCAGAATTTCTTTTTTTCTCCTAGATTGCCCTTCTGTGTTACACATTTCATTATTTTTCCTTTTTTCTACCTAGCCTGACCTGTCTCCCCAATGTGATGTTTGTGTATTGTATGTACGGTTGGCACGGTCTGTCATCTCAGTTGTGGGCAACTGCAACCGACAAATAAAAGCACTTCTCAATCCCAGTCAATCTCAAAAAATGCCAGACTATGATGGTTTTGACTGTTTTTCAAACAAATTACAGTTAATGCAAACTAAAGTTGAAACTGTATGAAGAAAGGAGCAGAAGATGTTGTGGACCTTAAAACGTGGCACGTGTAACTGCTGTTTTTAGTCTCTGGACACGAGTTTCAATTGCTGAAGTGTGTTTTCTAAGAAAAAAAAAAGACGAATAAAAAAAGTGAGCAAATAATTAAAAATGTAAGTAAAACTAAGACTTGTGTGTATTGCAATTATGAATAGTTATGGTAATTAAGCTACAATTTTCACTCTACTCTTGCTAAATTTCCTGGAACACCCACACGTGTTGAGTAATGTTTATAAAAAAATAACAAATCTGTTAAAAACACGTGGACCAAAAAAGTATAGCCAATAATGGTCAGTTCACAGAATTCTCAGTTAAACTGGAGCACATGCAGGAGCAGTACACTGGCTTGTGTGCTAAACCTGCCTTCTGTTCTACAGAGCCCATAAAAGCCAAGGAAAACTGTTCTGCATTTGAAGAAAGTCATGTTTTCAGTGATCCAAGAAGGTAAAAAAAGGAATTCTATTTGTGCTTTCATTTCTTACTCTTTATCCAGGCCACTCACTCATTCCAGTTCTTCATGTGCAATACAAAGGCTGTTGAGACAGCCACCCTCCTCTCAGTTTTTACTTATGTTGTCTATGGCCATAGCTAGGAGGTTCATCAGTTATGTTTGTATATTAACAAAAAACAAAACAAAAAAACAAAAAACAACGAACCTCTCAATACTACTACCTACTTTTCCTAATAGTTTTTCCTTGACTTTGCAGAAGATCTAATTACACTTCCAGCTGACTCCTTAACAATGTCACCATGTCTGCTTTTCCAAATTTACAAAGATGGACTACAGCTTGTGACTACTACTTAACAGCAGTACATTCTTACAGTACTGTATCGCCCAGGTCATATAAAAGAGCATTATGACAAAAACTGAAAGTGAAAATAAAATGTGTATTGTTTTTTCCTTGTTTTTTTCCCCCTCTTTTGTTAACGCTTTTTTGGCTGCAACTCACGGAATGAAATGAAAAACATGATTTGCCACAGTTGCTATTTAGCATTGAAGGGTTTTTCTTAGAGATTTCAGATGGCTTTTGCTATGGCTGTTACACATGTACTTCTGAGTTAGGAACCTTTACATTTGACTACTAAGCTGCACCCCTAGCATATCTAAGGCATGCACCAGGCCAGTCTTTCTCTCCTCTTTTGCTTGAACCATTTGTAACAAAATTGGACACTGTCTGTCTGTGATGTTTGTTTTGTTTTAAACGGTTGGGAGAGAGCTCCATGCCTGCTGCTTTTACAAGATTATCGGTGAAACAGCCTTGGGAGCTGCTTGTAAGTCTGTTTTAAGTCTGATGATGGTATAACATTGTTTTTGGGATCAACTTTCCCTCTGAATTAAAGACAAAGTGAGATAGTGAGAAAGATTAACCCCTTAGCAGTCCTATTAGTCCCCTAAACCATCCAATGTCCCGTGGGCGGTACGTCCGACTGCTAACAGTTTAAAAAGAAAGTAGATAGGAGTACTGGGTGTACCCATATGGAAACGATATATATAAATCTTATAAAGTTTGTATCTGTCTTGTGTGAAACTTGTATGAAAAGCATATAAGAGTGAAAACAGATATAAGATCCCTTGAAAAA